GGGGATTCTGAGACAAGAAGACAGTGGTAAAGGGAGGTCGGTGATGAGGACAGACCTCGCCTTCAGGGTAGCGAGGGGGTGCTGGGACACCAAGGATCTTTCATAGCAGGTACCATGATGCAGACTTCATCATCCTGGTAGCTCACCATTGCCACTGGCTAGACACATGCAAGCCATATTCACTTGAAAACATGCTTGCCCAGTCCCCCCAGAAGGCAGCTTGGAACAGCATGTAGCCTGTTTGTCCTCCTGCCCTGGACACCAGACTGGGTCTTTCTTTTATGTTAAGGGACATCATAAAATATTCTGGGATGAAAGAGACTTTTCCTACATTGCCTCTTCCCTCAAGGCGATGGCGAGGGCTTCTAGTAGCTCTTTCCTTGGTTGGCACCATCCCTTAAACTGTGTGGCAACTGAACTCTGTTGCAGTGTACAGCTTGAGATAATGTGATCACTTTCTTAGGAATCAGGTCAAGAATCAGAAAGGATTGTGTGCAGGATGGGGAAATTGCTTTCCTGAAGCTATCTTTGGATATGTTTGTGGTTTGGAGTGTAATGCAGGGGCCTATCATTGCTCCCCTCCATGGTCACAGGTGTATCCTAGGGAGGGCCTGCCCTGCAGGATGCCCATGCCTGATTCCTCAGGTGCCCATTCTCACCAATGAAATGCAATTGAAGGTGACATTTTCCTTCTGGGTTGAGGTGTATCTGATACTGGTTGGGAGCTCAAATGGCATGCTAGAGCCTCATGGTCGCTGGGTCCCTGAACCCCCCTGTGAAGGACAACGGGAGACTCCTCACTGACACGCTGGTGAATGGCCAAAGAACTTCTCTTAAGCCATGGACATGGGACACATGTTATATAGCAGTGGATGCCTCCCTCTCTAATCTGTGACAGAATGTATTTTCACTCCACCTTCCTTATTTCTAACATGGAGAAAAGGTGTGTGGGTGGGAAGGGGCTGCCATGGCCTTCTGGCTGAGCCAGAACCAAATAATGCTGGAGGGGAGTCTCTCCTCTCCCTGGGCCACACTGTGTGTGGGAGAGGTGGCTCTGACATTTGCAGTGTGCATGCCACAGTCCCCAGAGCAGCTCAGGGAAGCAAGGTGCTGCTATTGTCTGACCTCCTCTGGGTAGCCTTGTGGTTAACATCTCTGTACTGTCACAGACTTTCTCTGAATCTCTTGAGGCGCAGGATTCTGAGAAGCCAGTAGTAGCTGCCCCTTCACAGCATCAGGGATTCACACATTTGCAAGCCAGGCATTCTATCTCTGAAGTTGGCCAGGAGAGGGTCTGGGCTTTAGTGTACAGGCTATGTTGGATGGAAGCCACAGAGGTGGTGGCTGTCATGCAGAGGTCTGAAAGCTGAGGGTACCCCAAGTCTCACTGGTCAGCTACTAGGGGTGGGTGGTGGTCCTGACGTTGATTGTCTGGCTGAGCATGCTGTCCAAACCACTTATGCAGTTATGCTCAGCACTGCTGCAGAGTAGCCAAGTCCAGCACCTGCCACCCCTTGCAGATGAAGAAATGGAGGATCCTGAGCTAGCTCCCTGGCCCAGTGCCCCCTCTTAACTGTGAGAGAGGCTGGACAAACCCCTGGCATTTCCGGGGTAAGGCAGCCTTCAGGGGATGGGAGCTGACAGGCTCTAGCACCTTCACACACACTGGACTCCATTCCAGAGTCCAGAGGATCCTGGACTCTAGTTTTCTCTGGAGCTGCTGGGATCTGTGCAGTGCTGGTTCTGGCTCTTCTCCTGGGGGAACGATCATGGGAGTGGAAGCAAAGTAAAGACTCAAGAAAAACTGAGGGAGACAAGAGTCCTCCACTTTGGGTTCCCAGAGTCATCTGCCACACCCTGCTCCCAGATCTCCATTCACACTTCCGTGGCTCAGCTCAGTCACTGCGAGGGAAGCTGGGGAATGTCCAGTCATGCCCTGCTGGACTCCTTGCCCCACCTTGGCCACCTGAGTCCCATTCACTTGTATGCTGGACCCTGCCTTTCTCTACTTAAGACTGTAAGCTCCCTGAAGACCTCGCTTCTCAATTGCATCTCCAGCCCGGGCAGTACTTGGCACATAACTTGATCTTCAGTAGCTAGGAATGACTGGCTAAGACTTGGGCCCTCTTTTCAAGGAAAACAGAAATGCTGACTTGCATGAGTGCATAGAGCATCAGGAGGGAGGACTCAGAAAGGCCTGTGCCCTAGGATGGAGTTTAGAGGTGAGTCCTGCCTAGTTAGGGGCTGAGGCAAATCCCTCTATTAACTACCCTTCCCCAGAGCTTGCTGGCTTAAATTTACCTTCACCAGTTAGTTTGCTTCTGATGCTGTAACTGGGAATGGTTTGGGGTGCACCTTCGCTCTGCAGTGTTAGATCTGAGTTGTGGCAAAAACATCTACTTCCAAAATGGTCCTCGAAGTTGTTCTTGGCTGTGGGTTTCTGTCCCATAGCTGTCCCTGCAGCAGTGGTGAAGTCCTAAGAGTGGGTGTTTCAGCAGAGAAGGCAGGGAAGTGGCCTTGGGAAATCTCCATGTCCTGGCCGAGAAGGCCTCCCATTAGAAGAGATGCAGGTTTGGGAATTATGCTTTAAGTCCACATATGGCTTTTCCTGGAGGGTGGTGGGCAGTGGGTGTGCATGGAGCCTGTGAGCTCTGCAGTGTGCTATGGCAGACATTCTCTCAGGATGACAGGCTCTCTTCCAGAGAGGCCATGGGGATGCTTGGTCTCAAATGTTTCTGGTACAATGCCACCCACCAAGACGTGCATCTTTTCTCCCTCCCCTTGAAATGAGGTAGGCAGTAAGTGCAGTCTTCCACCTGGCACTTGTCTCCTGAGAGCCCAGACATCAGGGCACAGTGATGGATCATCCCTGTACCCACCTGAAGAATGAAGAACCGCTGTTTCATGGAGAGAGCCTCAGGCGTTTGACTTGCAGTCAATGCAGACAGCACCATAGGCAAAGTGAAATGTAACAGCCAGACCTCTGCATGCAACACACGGGAGCCGGATAGGGCCTCACTTGCACGGGCTGCACTTTGAAGTGGAGACTGGAAACAGCATGGGCAAAGGGAAGAGCATGGATGGGAGGAAGGCTGCGGTGGAGCACACCCTGTGGGATGGAGAGGAGCTCTTTGCTTCTAGTGGAAGGCTACACCTGGCAGACAAGGCCTCATTTGTGATGGGCTAGTTAGAGGACAAAGGAGGCTGTGAATGGGACAGCAGGGCTTGGCTTGGACAGTACCAAGGAGGCAGGAAGTGGCTGTCCCTTGTTGAGGGCCAAGGATGCTGTGGGAAAGTGAGTAGCCATTGCTCTGCACCATGGTTGCTGGCTGTTCTCTGGAGCACCTATGGGGAGGTGACACCCAGTGCAGCTCCACCCTTCACTTACACCTTGGTAAGATCTCATTTTTATTCATTTTGAGTTAGAATCTGAGTAGATAGTGCTGCCTGGCTCGGAACTCACAGAGATCCACCTGCCTCTGCCTTCTGCGTGCTGGGATTAAAGATGTGTGCCACCTTACCTGGCTCATTTTTCTTAACTACAACCAGGATGCTGGTGCTGGGTTTCCAGCCACTGTAGTCTGTGTTGTTATTATCATTGAATGCACCTCATATCAAGCCCTTAGAGAAGAACCAAACCCTCACAACAAGTGCCTCTGGGAGAATGCAGCCCCTCTGGCTGAAAGTGAGCAGAAAGTGGGTGTGTCCATGGCTTCCCACAGAGGGGTGGGTGGCTGACTGACACCAGCCTCCTGCCACCCCGCCCAGGCTGGATGGATGCCCTCTTCTGCTCCCGGAGTGTATATTTATGGCTGTCTTTCCCTAATACAGACACGTCTCCCACCCTTTCCTGGAATTTGAGGAGCTGTTGGGTGCCTATGGCACTCAGTGGTTGCTTCAATTTTTAAGGGCATCCAGTCAAGTCATGTCACTGTGGAAACAAGTGAGCAGATGTGGACAGAAGCCTGCACTAGGGAGTGTTGTCTGTTTCTGGGCCCTTCCCTTAGGATTATCCATTCTCAAAACTGATTGCTCTCAAAGTACCCAAGCACCTGGTGGCATTGATCCTTAAAAGAATGAGAGCCGGGCAGAAGCAAATTCTAGAATCAAAGTGGAGCACTCAGGAGCCTCTCCAACAGGACAGTAGCCTTGGAGAGGGACACTTGCAGGGCTGGCAACTGGGCCAGCCTGGCCATGAATGGGCCCTTGTGTAATGGCTCCTCTGCCTCCAGAGCAAGGGCACCCCTGTCCTGCCTGAGGGCTCCGCCACCCTTGCACCTTGGCCTCCCCATTCTATTCCAACCTTCAAGCCAGGACCAGCCAGAGAAGCTGCCAGCACTGGCCCAGTGTGTTCCCCCCAGAGGAAATGATGAGACTCACACCCCAGGTCTTCTGGGTAAAGTCCTCAAGTGGAGAGGTGAGGCAGGCAGGAGGAAGTTCCTGCAACGCTGGTCAGCTGGGGACAAGGGTGAGGTGCTCTTGGTACATGTGCGGCTGTCACTGCCCTGAAGTCGGGGTCACCCTCAGTAGAAGAGAGGCAACAAGTCAGCCAGTCCCTGCACCCCTCTAGGCCCATGTCTGTGGCTTCAGGGAGGTGCTGTGATCACCAGCTAGGCTGGGACCCAGAGGCTGCCTGAGATAGGCCTGAGCACACTGTGAGGTGCTGCTTGCTGGCATCCTGGCTTCATCTACCCTACAGGTACCCTCCCCCACTCTGCCTGTCACTTCATGCTGGCTGTGCACCATGTTTCAAGCACCTTATCCTGTGTAACCCTTGCTGCCCTGGGAAATGGGGGCCAGTAGTATTGGTATCTTGCAGATGGGGAAACTGAGTCTCAGGAGGCTATGAAAGTTGTTTGTTGCAAAGAGGAATGGTTGGGTGCCATGGGTCAGGGCAGGCGAGGCTGAGACGTGGCCAGCACCAGCCTGCTTGGCTGGGAGCACCCATATTTGTCCAACCGTGCACTCAGGGTCCTGGACAAGTGGAGCTGTGCTCCCAGTTCATGTTAGTCCTTTATTAGAACCACACTGAGTGGGGCTGCTCTGTCCAGAGGAAGAATCATTTCCTCTATCAGTAGGAGCTACAGCATGGGGGTGGAGGGAGAAGTAACATCAGTGGCACTGCCGAGGGTGGGTTCTGTTACCCAGAGGAGCTGTGCCTTGGGAACAAAGTTGCTACACCTTTTACCCCAACATGGCCACAAGCCGGGGTACACGAATTTGACACTTCTTTTCAACAAGACGGTAAGTTTTCGAGCCTAATGCTAAGGAAGCCCTTTGGTCTTTTGGGAAGTTTGGCTTGCTAGCCACTGCTCTCTGTGGTCACAACCTCACATTCTCATCTCCAGGCTCCCATGCCCTGCAGCTCTGGTGTGTGAGCAACCCCCCCATCGTCCCTCTGGGGAGAGGCGGGAGCCAGAACTGACTGAGGGCTCACTGGTTAGCCACCGGGCATGCTGGGACATAAGTGCTTCTTACTTTTGTTCTTAATGACCATTGGGGGAGCTTCTTAAAATATGAAAAAGAAATTTGCATCAGCTGTGGCAGGTTGTGATTAGAGTTTGGCATTTGTTTGGCTTCTCTGGCATTCCTGCCCAGTGCAGTCCCCACCCTTGGGCTACGAGAGGATGTGAGTCACTTTTAGAGTCACATTCATTCTGCAGTGCAGTTATTTCTTTCCCAGTTGCAGTTAGGGTGAACATAAGGAGGTCATCCAGACTAAGCCAGCATGGTTAAGTGTTTATAGTGTCCCATGACCTTAGCACACCAGTAAGATAAGGCAGGTCTGTAACTCATATGTAATATGCAGGTAGGTTTGACTCAAGATTCCCAGTCTGATCAGAGAGGAATGCATAAACACAGAGGGATGTGTATAAAAATGTAGATGGCAATGGGGCTTAATCTAAGCATAGCATATATAAAAATGTATTTAACTGCTAATAGAATGTGAGGCATTTCACTGATTACCATGTGGTTGAAGGTTTCATATAGAGGATTTTTTTAAATGTGCACGTAAACGTAAGTACCTGATAAAATAATGAGATGGAAGGAACACTCCCCACAGCAGTGTAGCTAACAGAAATGCAAACAGTGCTCAACAAGGAAGAGTGACTGTTGTGAGGCTGCAAGCCCGGGGACTGTGGGGGTTGGAGGCTGGGGCACATACCCCACTCCCTTTCTTCTGAGTGGGCTGACCAGGAACAACAGAAGCATTACCTTTGTATGAACCCATGGGCTCTCACAGGACACCAACACAAACACAGGGCAAGGGGACCCTACCAGGGGCCGGCAGTTTGAGGGACTATTAAATGCCCAACCAATGGCAGGGCACCAGCCTACATACAATTTTCCTGGCCTGGTGGGTGGCTGGTAACACTCAGCTATGGCTCTAGCTCTGGAGGCAAAGGAGATGCCTGGGGTGTGTACAGGACAGTGGCACAGCATGGCCAGGACTGTTCTAGGCCTAGCAGGATGAGTCCATGGCAACTCTTCTCAGGGTAAGGCTGTTTGTCCTGTGAAGGCTCTGGACTTTACAAAGTGCCATCACAGGACATAGCAGCAGCCTCCTCAGAGTCCCGAAGGGACCAGTCAGCCAGGGGCCAGAGGGTTCATCAGGTACAGGCCAAGCCTTGCCATCGTGGCCAGTCAGCTGGCCCTGTTATCCAGGCAGAGCTAGGAGAAGCCTTCTGTGGTAGCTGACTCTACTTACCTCCGTTTTCTTGGCAATGGAGTGGGCATATTTGTCTTTAGGGCTATACCTTATTAGCAGTGAACACCGTCCGAAGGCCCTGCTGTCCTCTGAGGTGAGGCACAGGAGGACAGTGTAACAAGCCCTGTGTTTTTCAGCAGTCCCCACTGTCCCTAGCAGGGTACCTGCCATGCCACTGGTGTCTCCCCAGGGCCCTTCTCCTTGAAGGATACATGGCCACTGGATGCTCTGTGTCTGGTATGGCGCTGTATGCTCCCAATGGAGGACATGGTGTCTCAGCTGTTCTCAGCCGGGGCAGGGGCCACAGGGCAGGTAGGCTTGTCCAGGAAGTGTTGCCTGGATACAGGGCTCACAGCTAGGCTCAGGGCCCACTCCACCCAGAAGGGGGAAGGTTGAGTAGGAGCTCTGCATCCTCTTGGCAATTGGAATGTTCTCTAGGAAGCTTGTTCCCAAAGGGGAGGCTCCAATCCCCTGTCCTTGCTGAGGGCCAGTATGGAGTCTGACTCTGGATGGGTCTCTCCCATGTGCCTCATTTAACAGAAGTGCAGTCCTGAAACTTGATCAGAAAACTGATCTTAGAGCTAGGGCCACATTTTCCAGTTCAAGGACAGTTAGTCTTGCAACTTTTAAAATCAGTGCAGCAAAGACTGGCTTAAAGTGACTTTGTTCTGGCTGTGGGGGTTCTAAAAGGTAAATACAGTTGTTTAAGTGGCTGAAGTTTATTCTGCCTGAGGCTTGGGACTATTTTCACATCAAAGCAGACCCTAGTTCTCAAGCCCATCTGACTCCAGCCCCGGGAGCCACTCACTGTCCCCCTGTGGCTGCTGACTCTGTGGGATGGCTTCCCAAGGAGGAGTGAGAGGCTGGCTGAGCTAGATGCCCACAGAGTCACTTCCCTGCTATCAACTAATTCTCCTGGGGTTGACAAAAGACTCGAAACCAATACCTCATCCTCCTAAATGTAGCTGATAGCTGGGGAGGAGGAGATGGAGGAAGAGTGGCTATGGTCTGGTCTTTTTGACAGTGGGTGTGGTGCTGCTTATCTGACCTCGCACTAAGTCAGAGCAAGGGTCATGTGGGTCGGGTTAGGGCCTAGAAAACTGTGTTTTGGAAAACACAGTGCACTTATGGCCATGTTTGCATCTTTCTAAAGGGTTCCAAAGGCTGTACCAATGTCAATGCATGCTGGGAAAGAGATATTGGTTCAGCAGGGTCCTTATAGTTTGGAGAGCCTGTGGGGTCCCTGTGGTCAGATATCTAGGGGGCTCACAATGGTGAAGCCAGAGTCCTTGCTGCTGTCATCATCAGGGCTAGAGCTGGGGTTGCTGGAAGAAGCTGAGGCTGGGCCCATCAGTGGATCTGAGAATGTCATTGGGGAGCAGACTGGGGCCTGGCTCTTTCCAGATGTGCTTCTGAGGGTGCGAAGAGGCTGAGCTTGGCCTGAGAAAGGTCCCTTGGCATTGCCCCCTTCCTCTTCTTTGGAAACCAGGATGAAATCATCTGAAGTTCCGCCACCTCGGTGCCCTGGCATTTCTGAAGAGGCCTGTGAGGTACAAAGAGAAGAAAGGGTGGTGAGGGCAGGAGTGACACAGCTCTGAGCAGAGACCTGGGAGCCCAGGGGGGTAAGCCAGCTATCACCCTGTGCCCCGATAGGCACGTGGTAGTGGAGCCAGGGCTTGTGTGCCCCTCTGAAGCTGAATGCTGGCTTCCCAAGAGGCCAAAATCAAGCCCATCTGATAAGCTGCAAGGAAAGGCAGCACCCATCCTGTAGGAGGGCCAGCCACTATGCTGTAAGCACCATCCCTGTCACCCTCAGGTGAACCACTGAGCACAAATCCCTTACCCTCTGTAAGCCCAACACGTGCATTTGTGAAATGGAGTGAGGACCATGTCATCTTCTGGTGGTCACAGGGCAGTGAGATGGCATGTGTAGACTGACTCTCTCAAAACTGGCTCCTGAATGTCCCATCTGGAGTGATCCACTAATTCTGTTCCGAGAGTGGATTCTATTTCACCTGTATCACAGAACTCGCTTATCTTGGGTGTGCACGTGTGGGTCTCCTGGGGGCAACGGTGGTAAGTACTATAAACAGGAAAATCTAGAGTGGCAAAGCGCAGTGATTTTGTCTACGGCTACTTTCCTTTTTATACAATTTTGAATGGGTTTTTATTTTCTTCACTGATAGACATCTGTGATACAAATGAAGGACTTGGGATAGTTAGCAAAGCCATAATGTGATCAAGGCCATGCAGTTTGTGGAAAGAATGCCTCAGCAGTGGTACATGAGGCAGGTGACTGAGGTGTCTCCTGGTTCTTTGGGCCTGCTGAATGACATGGCCCAGACCATCCCTGGGCCATGTACAGAGCCTGGGAAGGGACTCAGAAGCACTTCTGGTGGAAATCTGGCCTCTATCCCTGACTGGCAGGCCCCTCTCCAAGTTATACATCCTTGGTAAAATGGGGCTCGCTCAGGCACTTTCCAGCTCTGACATTCATCACCCTTTAAGATGGTGAGCCAGAGAGTACAGTCAGTCTCCTTAAGGTCATAGTGAGCCCTGAACTTCTCATCTCTAGTTTTTAAGCTGCTGACACTCTGGGAATATATTAGTTTCTACAGAGACAGACAAATGGCATGTGGCACTGAGAACAGGGTTTTATTGAAAACGACACTCACCCAGGGATGCTTGATGCTGTGTTCCTGATGCTGTCCCTTTTTCAGGTGTCTTGGTAAAAGCCCTGTGCCTTTGGGGAATGGGTCCATTCTCCATGTGCTCACAGTGATCAGCTTAAGCTGCTGGGAGCTTAAGGATGACGTCTCTCAGACTGTCCCTTTGCGCACAAGGCTGCAGTCCTGTGCTACAAGCTTTGCTCATTATAATCTCATCATAATGCTGACTTCTCTTCCATCGAAGTATTCCTGTTTGCAATTTTTTTTTTCCCCCAACTTTGAGCAGGGTCTGGCTATGGAGCCAGGTCTGGCCTCTAACTTGTGATCCTCCTACTCCAGTATCCTGAGTCTTGGAATCATAGCCAATGCACCATCATGCCAGGCAACTATCTACTAGTTTTAAACATGCAATGTCTGAAGCAGTGTGATCTCAAAGTTGCATGCCTATGCCTACGTCTACAGGCCAGGACAAACTTCTCCATTGGGAATAAACGTTAAGTACTGTCAGTAGAACTCTGAGACACCGCCTTGGCAGCATTCCTGATGCTCTCCTGACTTGCTGCGCTCTTCACTTTTTGCTCCTGGTTACACTTACTGGCTCTGCAGTCACTAAGGGGAAAATGTGTTGCATTCACTATAAATTCTAGAAACCCACAGAGGGTGACTTTCCACTGAAAGCACTTGTAGGTGAGCTGCCATCACCCACTGCTTTTCCTTTCGGAATCTCTCTCTTCTATGATGCTAAGAGCAGATGCTGAAAAGACAGAAGCATCCTCTTGGCACCTGATTTGCTGGCCCTGGGATGCTATCATTTGGGACAAACATACAGGCTTTTTTCAACCTTTTGTTAGGAAGCTCCCCAGGGTCAGTGAGTAGTGTGGTCTCTCATGTTGACTAGCAGAATCCTGGCAATAGAGGGAAGAGTAGCCCAAGGCAAGGAAGCTTTGGGAGATTGTGAGGTGTCTCTGTCCTGGCTGAGGTGAGGCTGTTAGTTGGATATGCTTGACTGCAGAAAGCTTCAGTGCAGCATCCTTGGCAGATCTGTATCACACTGTAGGAAATGAAATCCTGGTACTCCAAAGGAAGTATATCCTTTTGGATTTCTAGCCTCTGCCCCCATTTATAGCTTGAATGCTCCTGAAATCCTTAGGCAGTAGACCAAATTAGAAAATTAAACCCAGGCAAAGAATTGTAGGGTATGCATTTTGACTTCATCCACCCCTGCCCCGTCAGCTCATAGGTAGCTAATATGGGCAACAAGGCATCCATACAGAGGACAGTCTAATAGGGTCATTGGCAGACTATCTGCCAATGACTAAGAAATTCCCCATACTTATATCAGAATAAGTGACTCTAACCAGGATGAAGGCTACATCTTTGATGAAGAAGGGAATCCCATTCCAAGTATTTGAAAGTCCTCTAGAAGATGAATATTCTACTTTCCCGTGTGAGGATAGAGGTAATGCTCACTGTTCTCAGGACCCTGGAACAGTAAGATACCTTCCCTCACATACTCTTGACCCAAAGCCCTTTTGTCTGGAGGCCTCTTCCAGGTCCCTTGCACCTAGGCTTTCCCCTAACTCCTTTCTTTCTGACGTGACTAATTATAAACCAGCAAATGGAGTTTTTCTCCTCTGACAGGTTCCTGATACTGAAGGAAAGCTTGCTAGTGTGTATATGCCTTTTACTACCTGCAGTCTGTATAACTGGAAGACATATAGTCAAAATTGGAGGACTAACCCAGGAGGATTTATCCTCCCCTTGTCCATGAGGGGTATCTTTAGGACTCAACCCTTTGTGGACAGATACTCAACTCGTTTTACAAATATTATTTTTAGTGTATGAGTGTACTGCTTGCATGTATTTATGCAATGCCTACAGAGACCAGAAGAGGGCGCTGGATCCCCTGCCACCATGTGGGTGCTGGGAATCAAACCCGGGCCCGTGCTCTTAACCCCAGAGCCATTTCTCCAGCTCCCACATACTCAACTCTTATGTTTGTACTAGAAGGAAAAACTGGTCACCCTTACAGAGGTCATAAAGGAAGCGTGACAAGCAGCTGATCAGCGTCACAGCGTGCTCTGGTTGCTCACTGAGTTGATCCAGACTACAGGGCAAACCAGACTGAATGTTGGAGGCTCCTCAAAGGGGTACAAGAAGAAAATTCCGTTAACTGGGACAAAGTGAGGAGAATCCGGCAGAGGCTGGATGAAAGCTCTTTGGTCTTCCTGCAGAGGGTTGAGAGGATGCCTTCAGCAATATACCCTGTAGAATCCTAAAGGGACTGAGCAGTGGCACAATAGAGCTGGGAACTTACTTAACATTTTGGAAGTCTTGACATGGGGATAAAACTCCAAAAACTGGCTGTGGATCCAGAAACCTTTTCAATGGGTAGATACTGTCTTTAAGGTTTTGAGCAACAGAGATGTAGACAAGGAAGATGGAGAAGCAGGTAATGTTTTCAGCACGTCATTCTCCAGCCTGCTACACCAAACCCAGGAAGAAAGGAGCCACCACTTGGGTAAGTGCCACTAACCCCCAATGTGCTAGCTATCAGCAAAGCTGGGCTGATCCAGGGTGCATTTTTGAAATCAGGAGGAACACTGAAAGAGAGAAGGCATAACCCATTCTCCTGCCATAACTGACTATGGGCAGCCACTAACAGTAGGCCTCACACCAACTCTCCATTTAGGGAATAAACCTGACCCCTGTCCGCTGATTCTTGGGCTCCCATTACTGTGAATCAGATTCCTCCAAGGAGCCTGGGATCACCTCAGATACAGCTAGGGAGAAAGCTGAGTCTTTACTTAGTACTGAGCCACATAGTCTGTGTTGACTAAAAAGGGCACTCTGTCTAGGGGGGAATGCAACATAAAAGGGTAGCACGAAGAGAGATTAGTGATTTCTCTAACCTGGGGAGTGCGTTCAGTTCTTTTAACACTCACTTCTGCATGTTCCTGAACATCCCATTCCTTTCTTAGGAACAGACTTGTTAACAAACCATAGATAGCTTGTTAACCTTCAGCAGGATGGGATGAATACACAGGTTCCTAAGAGCTGTGGAGTTGAGCTTACTGTGCTGTCCCATGGAATACAACAGTATCTCAAGAATAGGCCTTAACCAAGACAAGATTCCATTTACTAGTTCATTCTTCCAAACCCCAGAAGCAGACGTAGGAAGTCCTAGACATGGCTGGCATGGCCTACTTCGATTCTCAAATTTGACTTAACCATAAAGCCCCATGTACAACAAGTTACAGGGAAAAAAGAGACTGATTTCTTTGAATGAGACAGTGTAATCAAGCCTTCATGAAGTTCAAGGAGCTGCTGATGAACACTCCTACTTCAGATCTGCCACACCTCAACACGCAGTTTGATTTGTATGCACATGAAAGGCATGGGATTACAGCTGGGTATTAACACAGATGTTGCGTTCTCTAAGAAGTGTGATGCTCAGTTTCAACAACTGTATACTATGATCTGAGGATGGCCACTATGCTTTATGAAGTGGAAAAAACCAAACCAAAACAAAAAGCAAACCAAAAAAAACCCCACAACTGACTATGGACAGCCACTAACAGTAGGCCCCACACCAACTCTCCCGTGCTCTGGAGACCCAGAGCCACTGCTGGCTGACAAGTGGCCAGATGCTCCTTACATGACTCTAAAACCCTGTCAGATGTTTAACCCAGCTACACTGCTTCCCGAACCATAAAAGCCATTAATACACAGCTGTTCAGAATTCTGGTGTCCATGAGCAGAAGGACCTATAGAGAGGAACACTGCTGAAGGAGCATGGTTTGTAGACAGGAGCAGTGCTGTGGTTAACTCTAGACCGGCTGAAGATAGAGCCCTGGCTTGGGCACCAACCCATATATAGATACTAGCTATGTCTTTCTGAGGGTCCACGTGACAGTCTGGAAACAGGGGCTTCTTTTATGTCAACAATATGTACTTAAATATGGAAAGTAGACCCTTAAACTCCTCCAGGCAGTAAATGTCCCTAAGAAAGTGGCAGTTGCATACTGCAGAGAGCATCAGAGGCAAAGACAAAAATAAAGGGAAACCATGTTGCTAGCATGACAGTTAAACCTGTGGCCTGTCTACATAGATTGTGCAGCTGTCTTTGATTCTTGCTCTGTTGTCTAGTAAATTTGACCCCTCTTACTAAGCAAGGGCAGGCAGGCTTCCAAATGCATCCTGTCTTCCAGGGGTTCACAGCAGGCAGTCAGGGAAAGGCCTGGATGCTTAAAATAGTGATGTGGGTAATTTCTGAGTGATGTCTATAATTAAACACATGGAATATAACAAGGACCCCAAGTTTAGAGAACAGCTATACTGTGTACAAATTGTATCACTGACAAAATCACATTCACACAAGGCCACCTGTGTCCTGCTGGCTCAAGCCAGTCACCCCAGGAGGATTTAAGAATCTTCTGGTTTCTCTGGATAATTTTATGGTGGCTAGAGGCCTTCCTCTGCAGAACAGAAAAAGCAGGAGAGACCGTAAGAGGACTTCTAGAGGACAGAAACTCAAGGTTGGACTGCCTTGTCCATCCAAAGTGACAACGGGCCTGCTTTTGTTTTGAAGATAGTAACTGGTGTGTCCCAGATACAGCACAACAGAATTAGTCATTTGTCAAGATTGAGATGGTAAATCCTAAACTCTTGGGTTACCTTGGGCCCAACTGTGAAGCTTAACAAAGCTAACAAAGCTGGTTACCTACTGTTCTGGTCTGCATCACTTCCATTCCTTAAGGGAAGCACAAACTCAGCCCCTTTGAGATGCTACAAGGAAGGTCTTTCCCAAGGATCATGGTTTGATCTAATTCTACTCTGAAACTCAGAGCTCCGTTAAAATTTGTTAAAGATCCTGTGTATTCAGACAGGATATCTGGGGTTTTGAAGGCACACCTAAGGACAGCTGGAAGTGGGTAAACTTGTCTGTTGAGACATCTAGTCACACTTTTTTTTCCCCTGTCCACTGATCCCCAGAAACTGAGTACTAGGCTATGTCTCTAAAACTTTTCTCAAGACCTAAAGTGTATTCTAAGTGCTTTGGTACCAGGAAGGAGAACTGTGGTGTTTGGTAGAACCTTCTTGCTCTGGAGGAGGTAGAAGCCTATGAACATATGGTTAGAAATCTGTCTCATTTTGTTAAGTATAGCAACTGAAATTGCCTAGGCTGTCTCCACTCACTGAAGAAACAGAAACCTTAGCTAAAGTAGTAATGGTAACTGAATTACTTTTAGGCTTTATCCTAATGGAGCAAGGTTTGTGCTGTGGCAAGTATTTCCATTAAGCTCACCTGAACACTGCTGCTAAAGTCAAAGCTGCCTTGAGAAAATTCAGATATGGGTTCTGGTCCCAACACTTATTCCAGAAGTACCAGGGATAAAGGACCTATTCTCAGGACAGCTTTCCTGGCTCTTCCAGGCATTAACTTTATAAAATCTTGGTTACTCAAATTAAGAATTCATTTAACTGATCTTATTTGTGATTTATGTCTCAATCAAATGTACTTCAAAGTATTGCAGTAAACTAATTGCAGGACCCAGGAGTGGTGGCACACACCTTTAACCCCAGCACTCAAAGAAGCCAACCTGGTCTACACTGTGAGTTTCAGACCAGCTGGGGCTACAGGGAAACCCTGTCTTAAACCCAGAAAAAAACCCTGAAGCCACCTTGAGACTCACTCCTAACTCATGAAGAAAAAAAATATCAGGGTGGGGGGAACCGTGTGGGACAGGAGCTTTCAAGCACCTGGCTTGGAGGAGAAGCTGCTGCCTCCTATCATGACAGCTAATGGCTCTTCACATTGTTTCTGATGAGGTCCTGCAGAGAAGACCACATGGAACTAGGTGAAACCAGCCCAAAACACCTCGGTTCTCTTTTAGATGACTTAAACTGCTGAGTTCTTTGACATTTTAAACATGGAACGTATGAAAAAAGCATGATCTCTAATGGAGCAGGTGCAGGAATGGGCCTACCTCTCCACACAATGACAAGTTTCTTTAGTATGAATTTGTTCAGACTCTGCTTTGGAAGTCACTCCTCCCATGCACACCCTTCCTGCTCCCATAATAAACATTCACTCTTCTCTTCTGGTCGTACTTACTGGCTTTGAACATACTGTGCTCACTTACAGATTCTTACACATACGAAAACTAGGAAGGCCAATCGCTGGTGTAGCACAGCCAAAACATTTTAAGTGTAGCAAACTGTTAGTGCTTTTCAGAGATTTTCTTTGGTAGTATTTTTACATAGTTAATTAAACATGCTTCTGTTTTAAAACTGCCAATTAAAAATGCATGGTGGGCTTGTGTATAACAATATTTAAATATATCATTATTAAAAAGTAAAACATCTGTTCAGGGAAGGAAAATTTGGAGAAATTTTACCCTTGAAACTGAAAAAAAAAATCCCTATTTCAAATATGGGGCTTTTTCCAGGTTGGTTAGGATGAACTTTATAAGCTGACCCATGAGAAGTATCATCAGAGCACCAGTTCCGATTCTACATGCCTGTAATCCCAGCACGAGGCGAGTCTGGGTTGTATAGTAAGACTCTGTCCCCAAAAAAACAAAACACAGGTATTAGAATTTTAAAATATAGGTTGTGTGTGTGGGGGGGAGGTGGCTCAGTGATTAAGAGCATTTATTGCTCTTCCAGAGGACCTGAGTTCAGTCCCCAGCTCACACCTGCCTGCAACTCCAGCTACTAAGAATCCTCTTCTGGCCTCTGGGAAAACTTTCAAAGATTTTAAAATATAGGTGGGAAGTGAACAACCTTTTTGTGTTATCAGATGATGTATAGTGAGGCCTGTGAAGGAACCGTCCTCCCTGGGCAGTTCCCTGGGGCTCCTCCCTGGCCAGCTTGCATGTCTCTCTGGCCTGATAAAAAGAGGCAAGACTAAACAAGGATGCTCTGATACCCTTAGAGATTAGCTGGAACATCCTGTTAGAAGGAATCATAGAATCAGTAACTAGGGCTCTCAACCAGAGAATGCTTTACACATCTTGAAAGAGTTGTCTAAAGTAAAATGTGACAGATAACTGTGTGGTGGTAAGCCTACAGTGTTACTCTGCCTTTCACAGAGGAAGTTTGCTGACCCTTGCTACAGGGTAGACGGTAATGAGAAGTTCTTACCACAAAGGCAAGAAAATTTTGGCAGCAAAGCATCTAGCTGAGAGACATTTACTCCAGACAGCATTAGGAAAGCACGCACATTACTTTCTGTGGTACCAGATGGAAGCAACTGACCAACAGCCACAACAGAGATCTGGCCTTTCATCTCACAGAATAAGAGTGGCAGGAGGCTCAGGCCAGTGCTGCTGTACAAGGATTCTCTGCTGTACAACCCTAGGAGATGTTAGCCTCATTGTTACCACTGTGAGTGCTATCACCTCCAGCACTAGAGTTTACAACCTGTACAGCTTTATATGGCACACTGCTTAGGATGTGTTATTTCACAGTTGAACGACATATACCAGAGTCTCAAGAACTTTGGTGGAGCTGTTCTTATTTAGAACATTGAACTTGTAAGAGTTCATTAAAACTGTACCTGCTTGGTGGCCCCAGGAACTTGGTTGCTCTGGTCCTGGCCACTGGAACAATAATGGTTATCAGCGATGGTGATCTGCTCATTTTCCTCAGCCTCCAGGTGGCTCTGGTTGAAGCGCAGGGAACCTTTAAGAATGTCTTTGATCTATTTTCAAAGCAGAGGAAAATAATAAAGATGAACGAGTTTGCATTTAAATGCTAGTTAAATCTCTCATACATGTAAAGTAGGCTTGTCATGACCTTTTTCCCACAGTAGTCCCCTTCATTTGTTGCTTTGGTCACCTACAGTCCAAAAATACAGGGGAAACTCTAGAAAGAGCAGTTCCGAAGTTTTAAACTGTGGGCTAGTCTGAGCAGCATGATGCTGTCTCTTGCCGACAGGCAAAGGAGCTAGGATGTGAATCAGCCCTGTGTGCAGACTGTCCATGCCATGTGGACTGCTGTCCTGATAGTGTGGCTGCTGAAGTCCCCTGTACGGTGGCCACACAGAATGCCACAGTGCTCACCAGGCAGCCACTGCATCCTTTACATTGTTGGAAGAAGAGAAAACGCAAGCTATTCTGAGTGAGAACACATACAAACTCTTATTGCAGTATGCTGTTAGAATTATTCTTAGTTACTATTGTTAATCCCTTACTGTGTCTAATTAAGTTTTCATTTAGGTTAGTATGTATAGGAACAAAACAGTATATGTAGGGATCAGTAATCCCTGTGGTTTCATCCATGGGGTGGGGTCTTGCTGGGGGACTCTGGTGGTACAAATGTCAACATTTTACAATAAGAAATAAAGAATTGGGGAAAACCCCATTGTTTCAAAGCTATGGACTTAGAAATAACTGATGAAAACTTCAAGGTGTTAATGTCAGGCTTTCCCAGGCTCAGAGACAGGTGACACATCTGTGGTGATTATATCAAAGAGGAAGCACCATCTGCCCTGGTACACATCCTTAGCCAGGAAGTGGCTGTGCCTCAGCTGGTCTGTTCAGAGCAGCAATACACTCTTCCCACTCACACTGCCTCTTCCTTCGACCTGCCAGGGTCAAAGTAAACTGGGCTCCAGGACCCGCTGAAGCTAGTGATTCTGACCTTGCCTTTGAGAACATGCTTGTATTTGTAGATAAATGACCAGACCCAATGCCTGGTGAAGAGTAAACCCAATGGGTCTGGGAAGGGGAAGGGGTGATGTGGGAATGGAAAACCTGTTTGCGCTATAAGCTGGTCAGATACAATCTCTAGAAGAAGCAAGGGGCATGCGCAGGTAGAGGAGATTCAGGAGCAGTTCCATCTGGGCAGTCATCAATAACGGGATGGTGGCTCCAACATGGTGCTCCATGCTCTGAGGTATCTTCCCCAGAGCAGTGCAGGTAGCAAGTGCTGGCATGTGGAACACAAAAATAATGTCATGGCAGTGCACATACCTGCTTTAATCCTGCCAAGGAAACCAGAATTAGATCTTCTTTTTCCAAATTTTCTTGTAATACCACATCTTGAATATTTACTGAAAACAGAAGAATGGCATTTTATAACTAATGCTCTGGGTATAACTTTATGTTGGCACACTGCAACTTTAGAGGAGTTTGAGGCTATTCATGCCACATTTTGTGGCAGCAGCATTCCCCAAGGGTGCTCTGTAGACTGCAGATGGGAGCAGGGAGCTGCTCTGATGGCTGTCTACAAGTCTGCACATGTCAGCCCCGCTCTGAGTAGTCTTTCTGCCTGTCCACACTACAGGCATTCTCTAGGTCTAGCACTTGGCATATTTTATGTATCTATCATTATTGACATTGACATTGCTGACATGTATGTGTGGGTCTATTTGATGTACATGACTACCTGGTGTTATATAATTCCCAAGACATTACTGCTCAGGGCTGTTCCCAGCTCTTGAGATGATGCTTGATGTCCTGCACACGGACTATTTCCTGAGTGAATGAACAGATGAAAAACGCTCTTGGAGCCTGCGTGTCAAACAATTATTCTAAATAGTTTTTAAAAAATATTTTCAAAAAGGAGCAAGGCAAAAACTGATTCTAAATGTTTTTGATTTTCTTAAAGTCTGTGACAGTTTGTTCTCTCTCAATGAAACAACAAGACAAAAAACTCCACCAGAATTCACTCAGTAAAACATTAACAACAACCAACTGCAGGAAGGTGACAGGAGCACTTCTGAAAATCTTTCATGATCCAAAAAGACTGTCTTTGTTTTTATGACTGCCATGGCTTTTCACCCTTGAGAGGTGGGAGTCAGGTTTCTCAGCTCTTGCTGGGTCATCTGGGCCAGCTGGGGACAGCTCCCAGCCCCAAGAGGAAGGTCATCCAATGGAAGCAGGAGCATCAGAGGAAGCATGGGGAAAGGCTGGCCCCTGGAGGCCATGCCTGCAGTGCAGGGACTCGCAAAGAGGAGATCAGCAGAAGCCACAGTGAGCATGCTGCCTTGCCTGGACCTGTGCCTTCCAGAGTCTGCTGCAGGTATGTCCTGAGGCAAAAGGATATGGCCACATTACCTGGCTCTCAGACCTGATATCATGGACAGACACATGGTCAACAAAGACTTTAGAGTTATATGCACCATGTCTTTGGGCATTCAGTGGCTCTAGAGAGGAGGAGACCCAGATATATAAAGGAAAGCTTTCTTTAGAGGTCAGCAATACTGAATGGGCGTTCAAAGACCATTTCCTCAAAAGGCAGTGAGGGATAAACCGGTTCCAGAACCCTGGCACTATCCTGGCAGGGAGAAGAGACAGTGTTAGAGATGCTAAAAGGGGGCATTTATTCAGATGAGGCAAACAGGTGACCTACACTGAGTGAGTTGCCTTCAACTGGCAAGTTTATAGCTTTGGAGGCCTGACCCTCCTTACAATACAGGGCTGGAGAGATGGCTCAGTGGTTAGAAGTAATGGCTTGCAGAGGACCCTTGTTCAGTTCATAGCACCCACACTGTGGCTAGTAACCATCTGTAACTCCAGTTCCAGGGGATATGACACCCTCTTCTGACCTCCCTGGGCATTGCATGACACAGGTGTACTTACATACATGCAGGCAAAACACTTATATGTATAAAAAAATAAAGTATTTAAAAAACAAAGCTACGAGACCGCCAGAGAGTGCCGAGTTCTGGCCTCCTCCTGGCAGAGGGCCTGAGAACTTGGGACTTCCTGAGAGCTCCATGATCCTGCCACCCTGTGGTGGTGAGCTGCCCCTTACTGCGCCATACCCACCCCCCACCTGGGATTTTGAGGCCACTCCAAAGGCCCCAGGGCAGATTTGGCTTTGGTAGGCCAAGGCTGAGATCGTAACAGACAGCCTGAGAGGGTGGGTTCCAACCTCCATCAGTGGAGTGGACCTCTATCACTGTAGTGGCTCTGATCTCAGCAGACCACCAGAGAGTGCTGAGTTCTGGGCCCCCTCTGGCCTCCCTCTGGCATAGGGTTGACAATGCACAGGACTGCCTGAGAGACCACAGATCCTGCCTCCACGTGGTGAAGGAAGCCTGAGTGTACCTGACTGGAACCTGAATTGGGCTTCTGTGGGTACCCCTGAATAGCTGATCTGAAGCCATCAGTTCCTTCCAAAATAAACCTGAGAGAACCTGAACCCTGTACCAACCAGCTTTACCTAATCAATAAAGTTCAAGGCCAGCCTGGTCTACATAGTGAGTTCCAGGACAGCTGGAGCTACGGGGAGACCCTGTCTCAAAAAGACTGAGAAAAAAAAAAGGATCTAGGCACCCCAATAATACAAACAGAAGCATACTTTAACTTAATTCTCATATCAGAATCATAAACAACAAAAGAAATTCACATGCCAAAATCACAATGAAAGAATGAAATGGAAAGCCAAAACACTATGTCCCCACCAAAAGCCACCAATCCTGTAGAAGAGTTCTACAAGGAGAATCTCCTAGAGATAACCCAGGACACAGCATTGAAAAGAACAATCACAAGCTGGGCGTGGTAGCGCACACCTGTAGTCCCAACACTTGGGAGGCAGAGGCAGGCGGCTCTCTGTGAGTTCAAGGCCATCCTGGTCTACGTAGTGAGTTCCAGGACAGCTGGGGCTACAGGGAGACCCTGCTTCAAAAAGACCAAAAACAAACAAACAAAAAAAACCCCCCAAAAACCTCAAACACAATCAAGGAATTTCAATGAATTTAAAGAACGCACAAAGAAAGAGCTAAAAGAAGATAGGGATAAACTTCTGAATGAATTCACAAAAGAGAAACATTGAAGAAAACTCAGGCAGAAATGAAGAAGGAAGTACAAAACTCAATAAGCCAACTTGAAACAACAGGGGAAAGCCTTACCGCTAGAATGAATGAAATGGAAAACAGCGTATCAACACCGGAGGATAAAGTTGAAGAATTGGACCACTCAACCAAAGAGTATGGAAAATTAAAAAAAAACTCAGGAATGGAATATGCGAGAGCTGTGGGACACCATGAAAAGACCAAATACAGGTCATAGGAATAGAGGAAGGAGAAGAATTTCAGGTTAATGGTGTTGACCAGATCTTAAACAGGATTGTAGAAGAGAATTTCCCAAAATTAAGGAAAGACATCCCCATACAAATACAGAAAGCACATAGAACACCAAATAGGATCAGAAAAGAAACTCCCCACGACATATCATAGTAAAAACACTAAATGTACAGAACAAAGAGAGAATACCGAAAGCAGCAAAAGAAAAACAAGTCACATACTAAGGAAAGCCCATCAGAATTACAGCTGACTTATCAATGCAAACCATGAAAGCCAGAAGAGCCTGGACCCAGGTATTTCTAGTTCTACATGACAACAGATGCCAGCCCAGAATACTTTACTCAGCAAAAATGTCTATTAAAGTTGAGGGGGAAAGAAAATCTTCCATGACATGAATAGTCTGAAAGAATACGTGTCCACAAAACCAGCCCTTTAAAGAATACTTGAAGCAATACAGAGAGCGGAGAGAGAAACAACAATATCCCAGGGGCAGCAAAAGAAAATAAAGGTATAATATAGGAAATGCAAAATTAGAGAACACAAACAGCAATCAAAATGATGGCAACCAATACACACCTTTCAATAACAACCTTAAATATCAATGGACTGAACTCCCAAGTCAAAAGACACAGGCTAAGTGCATGGATTAAGAAACAAAATCCATCTCTTTGCTGTCTGCTAGAAACCCACCTCACCTTCAAGGACAGGCACTACCTTAAGGTAAAGGGATGGAAAAGAATATTCCAAGCAAATGGCACTAAGAAACAAGCAGGGGTTGCAATTCTAATATTTGACAAAATAGACTTCAAAGTAAAACTAATCAGAAGAGATAAGGAGGGTCACTTCATTCTTATCAAAGGAACAGTTAACCAAGAAGATATTACAATAACATATATGCACCAAACTCTGGTACACCCAAATTCATAAGAACAACACTACAGGACTTTAAGTCACAGATTAACACCAACTCAGTAATAGTAGGGGACTTTAATACCCCACTGTCTCCATTAGACAGGTCAACTGGACAAAGCATAAACAGAGACATCTGAATTAAATGATACCATACATCACATGGACCTAACAGGTATCTTTAGAATATTCCACCCAAGCGCCAAAGAATATACTTTCTACTCAGCGCCTCATGGAACTTTTTCAAAAATTGACCACATACTGGTCCACAAAACAAACCTCAACAAATACAAAAAAAAAAAAAAAAAAAAAAAAAAGAAATGAAATAATTCCATGCATTCTATCGGACCACAATGAAATAAAGCTCAAAATCAACACTCAACAAAGCCCTAGTCACTACACGAACTCGTGGCGATTGAACAACACACTTCTAAACAATGGGTCAAAGGAGAAATTAAGAAAGAAAGAAAAGAATTCCTGAAATTCAACGATGAGGACAATATAACACAACAGAACCTCTGGGACATATTAAAAGCAGCCCTAAGAGGGAAGTTTATAGCTCTAAGTGCCTACATTAAAAAATTGGAAAGAGCCCAAATAAATGACCTAACACTGCAACTCAACGCACTGGAAAGGCAAGAACAAGTGAAACCCGAACCCAGCATAAGAGAAGAAATGACAAAAATCAGAGCAGAAATTAATGAAATATAATGAAAACAATACAAAGAATTAATGAATCTAAGAGCTGGTTCTTTGAAAAGCTGAACAAGATAGACAGATGCTTAGCCCAGTTAACCAAAAGAAAGAAAGAGCAAATCCAGGTCAAAAAAATCAGAGATGAAAGGGGAAACATCACAACAGACACCCAAAAGATCCAGACCATTATAAAGGAATATTTAAAAACCTATATACTACTAAATCTGAAAATCTAAAAGAAATGGATATCTGAAATCATGGGAACCTCCAAAGTTAAACCAAGAAGAGAGCAACAGTTTAAGCACGCCCATAACATATAAGGAAATTAAAACAGTAATACAAAGCCTCACAACTAAAAAAAGCCCAGGCCCAGATTTACAGCAGAATTCTACCAGACATTGAAAGATGACCTCCAA